ACTCCTGGGCACTTTATTCTCTCATCTGTCATTTGGGGCTAAAAATTTTTTTCTATGCCTACCGCACAGGGTGGAGAATTAAGAGAAATAATAGCAATGAAAGCTCTTTGCCTCTTATAAAGTGCTGTACAGGTGTGAACCCTGTTAGCATCATCATTATTATTCTTTTAAAAACATAAAATTTTTCAGCCTAGTCTCTTCTGAATTTAACATATATACTGTGGCAAGTGGCAGACACTCTGATTCTAGACAAAGGAGAAATATTTGTAAGTAGTATATCCACTTGAGCATTGGATTTTGGACATCTGGATTATCCATAAACTCGAACTTTCAATATGGACCCCCAAAATAAATAATTGTTTGGTACTATCACCCATTTGTAGGTAGTGAAGTGGAACAAATTTCACTTGCCTTTCTCTTTGTGGAACTAAAAATAGAAATGACACATTGCTAGTCAGAAACAGGGTCATCTGAAAACAGGGGCTTTTGAAATATCTTTTGGCCACAAAACTACCAAGAAGCAAACCCATGCTTGCTGCATCTTGCCACTGAAAAATGGAAACTCTCACTAGTGCTAGGCTCTTTCTCAAACATTAAAACCACATTTACCCAAAACTCAGTCTTGACCCCCAGAATGGCTTATGCACCACGACCTCACTAACCTTCTCTGACTTGATTAAGATCAGAAAAAAATCAAGCAATCATCTGATAAATTTGATCAGAGAAGCAGAGAATATTAGAATGCAAGAGGAAGGAGCCGGTGGAAGGGAATGGCATTTATCAACTATTTAGTTCATGTTGCAAGGCTGTATGTTTCCATATATGCTATCTAATTGAATTCTCACTGCAACCCCATTATATGGCTATTATCTCCATTTTACAGTTGAGGAAGCTGGTGCTGGAGAGATTAGGTATCATTCCAGAAGATTATAGTAGAATGTGGTGAACTGTTTTTCCAGACTACTTCTAGCTCATCCCTTTACAAAAGAAGGGAAGTGAGAGGAATTGATGGCCCCAAGGTCGTGCACTTACTTGCTACCTGCTTGAGTTCTGAAATTCAGGCTAATTGAATAATTGGTCTTGACTCTCCCCTTTGAAACTACCCCCAAAGCTCTCAAAGACCTTGTAAACCCCAAAGAACTGAATAAGAGTCCAGTGCCTTCTTCTTTGTGCCCCAGATTTAGTACTTCTCAGGTGTATTACCTGGGTTTCTGGGGGTGTTGCCACGGTTCTCACACGGGACACTGAAGTCCCTTCCTCCACTCTTCCCCAGGTTTCGCTTCCTGATGACCCACACCCGATGAAAGCAGTGAGCAGAGTTTCTGAAAAATGCTTCCCTGCACCCAGTGCAAAGGTCAAAACAAGTACTGGCTTTGAAGCCACAGAACTGGAGGTCAAGACCTGGCTTGGCTATTATCTCCCTATGAAATTGTGGGCCAGCCAGGAGTGGGACTAGATGAACTTCCAACTCTGGATTTCTTATCTCAGAAGATCAGTTTGATGGGGTTGGTTAAAATCTCAAATATATGTGGTCAGTGAAGGGAAGCCCTGAACAGATTTTGACTTTGGCTATCTGGAATCTAAACTCTTGTTCATTTGTGGAGAATTCGGAACAATCCAGTACCCCTTCCCAAGAGAGCACACCTCATGTTCTTTTGAGAAGAATGATCCAATGGGACACTGTAAGGCTGTGATAGACTGAGTTCCTTCCAAGTTGTGAGAGGTAAAGATGGCAAGTGGGTTGGTTGGGAGCAGAAGGCAATACTGGAGCAGACTGCCAGGGAAGAAAGAAAGGACAGAGGTGGAGAGGAAGCTGATGCAGGTTAAAACTCTGATGCTTCATGAGATTGCGGGGACCAGAGCCAGGCTTCAGACGGCAGAAGATCTGGGCTCTGTTTCCAGCTGGGTCAAGTGTTCCTTGGACTTAGCTAAGTCATTTAACCTCTCCGTTTTTCATTTTCATTTTTCTCAACTGCACAAGAAGAATAATAACACCTTCCCAGGTGTCTCACAAAATTGTTACAGAGATTACAAGACAACAGCGTATGTGAACATTCTCAGGAAAATGTGGAGTGTTATGTAATGTAATAATAATCATAATTTGTAGAACCCTTGCATATTTTTCTATTGGGCAGCTATTCTTATTCCCCCTTTGCAGATGAGGGGAAGTAGGTATGAGACGTTGTGCCCTTCTTAAGGACATTCATCCGGAGTGGGACTAGATAACCTCCCAGGCTGGGATTTCTCTTTTCCAGAGCTGGGGTGCATCACTGTTGCCAAATGACAGAAGGAAGCAGCATGGCTGAGTCCCCTGATACTGGAGATGCCCTGCGTGTGTCTGTGCTGTCGTAACCAGATTCAGCAGCAGAGTGGAGAAAGGGGCATGTTCCAGTTGCCATTGCTGCATAACAAAGCACTCCCCAAACTTAGCAGTTTCAACTGTGGGTTAGGAATTTAGGAGGGACTAGGCTGGGCATTTCTGGCTCAGGGGCTCTTCTGTGGCTGCTGACAGTGCCTGGAGCTGGAAGAGCTGGGGAAGGATGCTGCAGCAGCTGGGGGCTGGCCAGAGGTCTCTCAGAGTCCCTCCATGTGACTTTTGGACACCACTTTGTGTTTCCTCACAGCATGTTCCAGAGAACAAGAAGGAAACAGCATCATTGCTTTTATTACATACCTTCAGTAATCACATAGCATCACCTGTGCTACATTAGAACGATTACAAGCAAGTCACAACCCTAACCAGATTCAAAGGGAGGAGAGTTAGATCGCACCTTTTGCTGGGAGAAGTGGCAAGTTTTAGAAGAGCGTGTGGTACAGCAGTCTGCCACAGGGGGGAAAGGCTGTAACAGTCAGAGGAAGATTAAAGGGTCTCATACCCTGGGAAGAGGGGCCAGCTATCCTCAGCCAAGGATGTTAATTAATATAAAGCATAATCTCTTACACGGACAGACAAGTTCCTTTGTGAACAGAGGCTTAAAAAAACACCAGCAAGATCCTATCGTTGATAACAAAGGAGTGTCTTAGACTGGCAATGGAATGAGGGCATGTTAGCAAAGGTCCTGAAATTATACCTGGGCGGATCAATCAGTTTGGTGAAAAGTTCACAGAGCATGTGTTTATGGAAGCTATCAGAAAGAGCTCTGTACAAATGTCAGATTATATCTTACAGACTCAACTTTTTCTTTGAAAACAATTTAAAAACTGAGGTTTTCTGTATGGCTTAGTTATCTTGTAAATATCCCCATGCTCCTCTCAGCTACACAGAAAGTTAATAGATTCTGGATATAAATTAATAAGTTATAAATTAATAAGTTATATATATTAATATATATAATATATATAAGTTATATATAAATTAATAAGTTAATAGATTCTGGATATAAAGATCCTTGTTACTCAATTATCTTTTGATAAAGTTATTTTTAGAAAGAGAAAAAGAAATGTTAGTTTTTCTACCAGGTTACTTTTTACTTTATGAATTTATATTGTTAGTTTTTTAACTGAGCATTTTCCTTGTGGCAAGTTCTATGCCATCTCCTGGTGCAAACAAACGTGAGGGAAACACACTAGCCTCAACAGGCAAGAACCACCCACTCAACAGACGGGGTGAGGGATTTAGGATGGGGAGCCAAGTGTGTCCTGAGGATGAAATCCCAGACCCAAGTTTCTGGATTACAGGGTTGAAGGTCCATGGGAAAGATGGTGTTTAAATCCTGCTGTGTATATGACTGGGCTTGAACTCTGCTCCAAGTATATGGTTGTCAGTTAAGAGTCCTCCTTGGGTCATTGCATGAATTAAAAGACACAATGTGTGTGAAGCCCTTGGCATGTGGCAGGCGTTTGGAAAAGTGGACAATTATTGTTATCAGGTTGGGTTTTATTATAATTTAATGTTAATATTATGACATGAAGAGTGACTTCCTGTTTACAAGTCACTTTCATATTTTTCATCTCATTAAATTATTATAACAATCCTGGGATTTAGGCAATGTACCTATTGTCCCCCATTTTACGACTAGAACACTGATTTTCAGGGGGGTCAAGTGACTCACCTGGAGTCTCTTAGCTAACAAGTGGCAGAGCCAGGATGTGGAAGTTGGTGACCATACCAAAGCTACCTCTTTTTGGCCTACCATGCTATCTCCTAAATTGTCAAATGACCTTGTGCAAGCACGCCATGCCCTGTCCTTCAATCTGGACTCTGGTTTCTACATCTGCAAAATGAGAAGACCGAATTAGATTACATCTGAAGCCCCATCCAGGTCCCAGCATCTCTGATTAAAAGCGTATGTTCAGGCACAGACCTCAACCTTTTGCAGGTTGGAGCCTAGCCTCAGAGGGGCTGGAGCCTGGTGCTGTGCCCAAATCACAGGCCTGGCCTGGCGTTCAGCACTCTCCTGAATGCCAAAGGATAGAATTCTCTGGAGGACCTGAGTCCAGTCTGGCCAACTCCTGATGGCCTTAAATTATTCTCTGACCTCGAACTTCTGATTATCTGATTATTTAAAAAATGGCTTGGGAAAAACCATTATATCTCTCCAGAGACCCCTTCCTTTCTTACCCTCATTTTGTTCCTGCAACACCAGGAAAGAGAAACTGGGAGACAGGCAATCTGTATGTAATTTTTGTCTCTGCTGCTGCCTTTCTATGTGACCCTGGGCAAGTCACATCAAAAACGGAGGATTATCATTAAGGATTATCCCGGTTTAAGGGTGTATGGGGCCATGTGGCTTCCTCTTGAGTGAGAAATGGAAGACCTAGGTTATATGTGACTTTAAGATAAGAAAAACGACAGATTTTCTAGTAACAATTAGAAAATTGGTCAGGGCTGGTCCACTTCAATTGCCTTTTTTAACAGCCTTTTTACTGTATTGCAAAGGAAGATGGGGAGGTAAATGCTTTCCGTATCTGGCCCCAGGAGAGGTTGTAAGTCTTAAATGTAATATTAGGTTTAGAGCATAATTCTTTTCCTTTTGTCCACCTACTTTTCTCATTTCTAGATTGGATCAGAAGTGACTGGAAGTCAGGCAGAAAGTAAGTTTTGAAGTTTTTCTGCACCTTGATGTGGTCTTGCCTCTCCTGGGGCATGCCACCTTGCTCAGGATCTAACTGGTCATCTGGCTTCATTCTGCAGACACACAAGCAGGAGACCCCCAGCCCTTGGAGAAGGGCAGGCAGCGCTGGAGCTCCACATAAGCAGGGGCCGAGGTCACCTCCCCTCTGGCTCCTCTGCCCCCCTAAATTAAGGAGTTTTGTTTGGGTTTAATTTCAACAGGGAGAGGAAAGAAAGAGCAATTTGACCCCTGTTCCACTTCCAAAGCAGAGAGGGCTCAGACCCCTCTCCCGCAGTCCTCTGAATGCTGCCAGCAGTCCCAAGGGGCAGAGAAGAGGTCAATTGCAACAGCCTTAGGAGAGCAATTGCACAATTCACCACAAGGCCACAGGGCAGCGGGGAAGGGATGATTCTAGCCACGTGGAGCAGTGGACAATATGCTGGCCTGGGCTCCTGTCACCACTGTGCCATCAACTCGTCATTTGACCTCAGCCAAGTTACCAAACCTCTTTAAACCTTCATTTCCTCACCTGTCAAACTAAGAAATGTGGTGCTTTTTAGAATTAAAAAAAGTGAAAAGTACCTTGGTATTATCCAACCTAACCTGTTTATTTATATACTTGGAAACTCAGTACTACAGAGAGGGAGTATCTTGCCCAGTGTTACATGGCAATAAACAGCAGGGTCATTTCTAGAAAATAAGACCCCTCCCTCATGTCAAAGTGCTGCTTTTTTTCTTAGATGATCTCCAAGGCTCTCCCTAACTCTGTCATTCTAAAGACCTAGTCCCCTCTCACCTCTGGCTGCTGTCTTTGGGTAGAGTCTTGCTTCCTTTGGGACACTTGGTGACGCGTTATATGCAGCTACTTCCCTCATTACAGAGTTCTTCAATTTCAGGTAAGGCCAAGCAAATGATCTTCTCGGCAAAGCTTCCGTGGGTCATTGTCATACTTGTAATAATCATCGAGGCTCATTTCAGGACAATCTTCACACTGGGTGTTGGACAAGGGCAGAGTCAGTGTGACAACTTGGCCTTGTGTATAGATAGGGACACCATAGTAACTACAAAATAGCCTGTGTTCTAGGTCCAGCTTGGCCGCCAAATCACTTTGGGACCTTGGAACAAGCCTCAGCCCTCTTCCAAGCTTCAGTTTCCTCATGTTGTTAAAACAAGTTGGTTGAACTGGATGATTCCTAAGGTGTCTTCCAGCTCTGACATTTCATAGAAGAATATTGCCTGAACTTTCTATTTTGGGGGGTGTTTTGCTTAGAAACTAGGAGGATGATCTTCACTACAGGAAATCTGGGAATGCTTGCAGGTCTTAGGATCATAAAACAAATACTAAAAGAGAAACCTAAGATATTACATTGTCCTGTAGTTTTGGCTGATATTTTCCACACTCCATATCAAATGTTCATGACGTAATTATTTATACATTTTGATTTTCATATGAAGAAAGGTAGATGGGAAGATAGAAGTAATTCTTATTGTGGTAATTAATTATGCTATTTCGGAATATTATTGCAGTTGATTATATTATGAAGATAGGATTGAATCTTTAGCTTCATAGACATAGGTCCTATCTTCAAAGCTCATATCTTCTAGCAAGCTCAGATATGGTTATAAATAACTCAATTACAAGATAGGACATTTTGAAGCCAGTAGAAAGGATTGTATAGAGGAGAGAGATCATCTCCTGTTTGGAAGTATCAGGAAAATCTTCGTGGTGGAGTTTGAATTTGAGCTTGATTTTGGGAAAGAAATAGTCATCAGAGGTAGAAGGAGGCCAGTCAGAGGAAACACTATGAACAAAAGCAAAAGCAGGGAAATCATGTGAAGTGTAGTGGCTAGTGAATGGGTAGTTCACCTGGCTAGGGCACAGGGCTCTGAGGAGAACTAGTGGGAAAGAAGACTAATTATAGTCATATGTCATATCTCTTTGGCTAGTACCTAAGTATTTTTAGGTCAAAATCTTTGTTCCATTCATCTTGGGTTCCCTATTGAAAGTGACATATAGTCATATCTCAAAACTTGTTTAACAAATAAATAAGTTATATTAGGTGATACTTTTCCCTCAAAACCATCAATGTATTGTGTAGATACAACTATGTCTTAGACTCTCGGAACTCAGGTTGAACATGATACTTATCCTGTGGATGTGAAGTGCCATCATTCAGCCCTGTAACTAGAGATAGGTTATCTCTCACCTGGAGAACAGAGTATGTCATGTTCACCAGCTTATAACAGTGAAAATGTGACATATACATGACATGTACAAGAAGCTAAGTTCAGCATCTCTGATGCAGAAAAAGCCCATCAACTACAGTTTTTTGCAATGGCCTATTGGGCCAGTTCTAGGGACAACAGAACAAAGAGAATCCTAGAAACCACCTCTGAGTATCAATAAATAAAATCCCCAAAGACAATGTGTTGATAAATATTTACTGAGATTTTGTTACTTAGCAATGTAGTATCTGGACTGCTGAAGAAAGAAAAAAAGAATCTGTACTTTTTTGTATGTGGACTATAGTGGTGGATAACAAATGCACACTTGTGATAAAATTGTATAGAACTAAAGATACATGCACAGATGGGTACAAGTAAAACTAAGGAAGAAATCTGAATAAGATAGGTGGATTATCATTGTCAATATCTCAGTTGTGATATTGCACCACAGTATTGTAAGATGTTATTATTGGGTGAGACTAAGTAAATGGTACATGGGCTTGCTCTATATTATTTTTTTACCTGCAAGTGAATACACAATTATCTCAGTAAAATTTTTATTTAAAAAAAATGGGCTAAGATGAGTTCACTAGTAAATTTTTGAGAAAGAAATTTTACCAATTCTCTACAATCTCTTCCAGAAGATAGAAGCAGAGAGAATCCTTCTGAATTCACTGTACAAGATCAGCATTACTCTAATACCAAAACCAGACAAAGACATTAGTTAAGAAAACTACAGACAAACTCAATCTTTTTAAGACGTCAGCTCTTTCCAAGTTGGTCTATAGATTCGACAAAATCTCAGCAAGGATATTGGCACACTGATTCTAAAGTTCATATAAAGAGGTAAAAGACTCAGTTTAACCAACTCAGTATTGAAAAAGAACAAAGAGGACTGACACTACCAGACTTCAAGACTTACTACAAGTCTACAGTAATCAAGACAGTGTGGTATTGGCAAAAGAGAAGACAAATAGATCAATGGAATAGAATAAAGAACCCAGAAATAGACCCACACAAATATAGTCAACTGATCTTTGCCAAAGGAGCAAAGGCAATACAGTAGTGCAGAGACAGGCTTGTCAACAAATGGTGTTGGAACAAGTAGACAAGCACATGCAAAACAGCAACAACAACAAAACAAAACAAAAAAAGAAAAGAAAAAGAATCTAGACAATGACTTTACACTTTTCACAAAAATTAACTCAAAATGAATGATAGACCTAAATGTAAAATGCAAAACTATAAAACTGCTTGAAGATAATATAGAAGAAAACCTAGGTGACCTTTGATATGGTGATGACTTTGAAGATACAACACCAAAAGCATGATCCATGAAAGGAATAATTGATAAGCTGGACCTGGACCTCATTAAAATTAAAAACTTCTGCTCTGTGAAAGACAATGTCAAGAGAATGAGAAGATGAGCCCCAGACCGGAAGAAAATATTTGCATAAGACATATTTTATAAAGGGCTGTTATCCAAAACATAAAAAGTTTCTTCTTATTTGATTTGTGAAGGAAAAAAAAAGAAGAAAAATCCAAAACATAAAAAACTCTTAAAACTCAACAATAATATAACTATGAGTATAGTAGGAACCCTCCACATGCCTCCCACTTTTCTGATTTACTCCCCCTTTTGCCATAGTACTAGTATGGCCTCATCCACATGGGTAATGTGCCTATTGTCAGCCTACCAAAAGATAGTGCTGCTGCTTTTTGAGACAGGTGAGAAGACCCAACTCTCATCCTGGGGATCCTTTATGACAGGAATAGCACACACTTTTAAAGCAACATACCACAGTCTAAAAAGCATCATTTTGAAATGTAACAAGCACTTTATTGCAATTATTCGTTTGGATAAAGTTTATTATCTTAGGCATTTATCATTTCTAAAGGATCCCCAAATCACCACTTAGGTGAAATTATAAATGACATATTTCTGAGAAACGTTTAGATCCAGTGAACCATAGTAAGTTTATGGGAGTGATTTCAAGGTAGCCAAATGAACTTTGACTTTTGTTTTGAATGTGGTGGAGTCAAGAGATTGTAGATGTACTTGGTTTGTAGCTGTATAAAAAAAAAAAAAGAGATTGTAGATGCCTAGTTCCATTTAAACACTATTGTAAACTTATCTTGCCTATTGTGTGGACACCAAAAGAGACCAATAAGCCTGTTTATTTTCAGAGGTCTAGAAAAACTGCATCTGTGTGAGCAGATATACAGAACTAATCTAAAAGTGATTGGGAATATTATTTTAGAATACAATGATTTCAAGAATTATTCTGAGTGTTTTAAATGTGCCCTGAAATGTTGGCATGTCATTTCAGCATTTCCATTTGAATTGCTCTTGTAATATTTTTGCACAAAAAGGACTGAGAAAAAGACTACTTTGGTTAAAGGGAAAAAAGAATAATTTGATCTTATTTTAATGTCTCGTGTGGAAACACTGGGGATGAATTTTGTTGGTACAGTTATTAATTCAGGATATTTAAAAGTATTGAACTCACAAATTAAGCAAACTTGGATATTTAAAAATTAAAATACTTTCTTTCCAAAAAGAAAAAAAAAAAAAAAAGAAAGAAAGAAAATGAACAACCTGACTAAAAAATAGGCAAAAGACCTAACAGACATCTCATCAAGGAAGATAGACACATGGCAAGTAAGCCTATGAAAGGATGTTCAACATCATACGCCATTAGGGAATTGATAGTTAAAATAAGGAGATACCACTACATGCCTATTAGAATGGCCAAAATCCAAACTACTGACAACAACAAATGCTGGTGAGAATGTGGAGCCACAGGAACTTTTATTCATTGCTGGTGGGAATGCAAAATGGCACAGCCCCTTGGGAAGACAGTTTAGAGTTTCTTATAATAGTTTTATCATACAATCCAACAATTGTGCTCTTTGATATTTATCCAGAGGAATTAAAAACTTATGTCCACACAAATACCTGCACATGGATGTTTATAGCAGTTTTGTTCATAATTGCCAAAACTTGGAATAACCAAGATGTCCTTCAGTAGGTAAATTGACAAATAAATCATGGCACATACAGATAATGTAATATTCTTCAGTGTAATAAAAAGGAATGAGCTACCAAGTCATGGTGAAAACTTAAATGCATATTTCAAAGAGAAAGAAACCAATCTGAAAAGGCTACATCCTGCATGATTCTAATTATATGACATTCCGGAAAAGGCAAAACTATGGGGACAGTAAAAGGAATAGTGGTTTCCAGAGATGGGGGAGGAGAGAGGGATAGATAAGCAGGGCACAGGGGATTTTTAGGGCTGTGACACTAATCTGTATGACACTACAATGTGGGATGCACGTGATTATTTCTTTGTCAAAACCCACAGAACAGAACGTATGTACGACACCAAGAGTGAACCTTAATGCAAACCATGAACTTTGGATTATAACGATGTCACACCATC